GTGTGTGTGTGTGTGTGTGTGTGTGTGTGTGTGTGTGTGTGTGTGTGGGTGGGTGTTTGTGCACCGGTAAAGTAGTCTCGGCATCTTCTTACGAGGAGCTCAATGACAATGTATAGCATTTTTAGTGCCTTGTCGTGCTTCTCCAATGGCGAAATAGACTGTAGCACTGGATATTCATTCGCACTCATCATGCAAACGTCATTATTCATGCTGTGAACATTCCGTAAAAAGGGATATCGCTTCGCAGTGGCAAACGATATTTGAATAGAAAACCCATAAAGCGTACCTGGGCTCCGTTAGCAAAAACGAACCACCCGAACCGAACTGCCCGAGCATACTCACATCAAAAGGACAACTTAAATGAACAGAAAAGATATATATTGAATGCAAGAGAGCAAGCAAAGAGAGGGGGAGGGAGAGCACAAGAGGAAAGGAACATTAAAACGAACGATTATGTGATGTGGAAAAAGTTAGATTTTATGGGCCGCAGGCATTTTACATGTACTGATAAAAGTGCTGCACAAGCGAAATTCGACTGAAAAGGGTTTGTCTCAAGATTATTAAAAATCATTTCGGCTACGGTGTGTGTGTGTGTATACGTCTCCAGTTCGATATCATTGATTTTTCGGGCGCTTTATACATAATATTTAACAGCATATTTCAAAGTAACCCCGAGCATATGATCGACTGAATGCCATCAATTTTTTTGTGTTTGAATTTTCAGTTTTGTTCTCTTGATGAAAAGTCTGCGTTTTTGCGACAGAAATTCTATTAAAACCATTTTGTTTCGATTTTTTTCACAGGTGTCCTGGATTCGCAAAAGGGATCTTCACATATTAACAGCCGGCGTGCTAACATACACATCGGACGAACGATTTCAGGTAATTCACTTCTTCCTGCTGTTTTCTTCGCCAATGAACGGGCTTCTCTTCTACATCGACATTTTTCTTTTCCGTTTTTTTTTTGTTTCGATGAAGAATGGAAAAAGTTTCATAAGAGAATTATTTTCATGGAGAATTTCCTTTTGTGACAGCAGCACACAAAGGCAAAGGAACTATGTAATGAAGCATGGTATCATGGTGATGCAAAAACAAAGGGAAAAATTACACTCGATCGAATCAGAGCGAGAAAAGAAAATGCGGAAAAAAACGCATTGCAGAACAATTTTATTAATTCATTATTTCGAGAAGAGAGAATGAAAAAGACGCTTTTTCCTTGGAAATTACATTCATTTCGTTCGCATACATTCTTCCTCATTTTTGCATTCATTGCAATATTAAAATAGTGAGAATTAAATTGTTTCGCAGTGCTTTGTCGTATTTTGAAACGCGAGCGAAATGAAATCTCGTGGATTTTTTCTTTGACGACTGAGTACACACCTCAGGTGACTCGGTGATATTCTTTGAAACCGCAAAAAAGATTTATTATTTTACACTCACTAACTGGCGCTGACGATGATTATTTCTTTAACTAGAAAAAAAAATCAATTCACCGGTTTCGTTGAAAAAGTTCCAATTTATGGAGGTTTTTCTTGTCATCATAAGTAGAAACGAACAAAAAATACGCTTTCTACTACCATTTTTCCCACTCAATCTCACTCTCATTTTTTTTTCTTTCGATGCCATTTGTATAAACAGTGTGGTGGTTTGTACATATCACAATAGTTTTCTCGCACGAATCATCATGATGCTAGTTTATTTGTCAGAATTGTTTTTTTTTTTTTCAAGTTTGCAGAGTCATTTTTCATAATTTCCTTTTTCGAAAACCGAAATTTATACAGAAAACAATTCCTTGTTGACCAAAACTCAAAGTTTTCATCATCTGGATGAGAAAATGCACTTTTTTCTCCCCTCTTGTCGTTCGCGGTGTGCAGATTTTTCGCTGCATTCATTTCGCGCTTGGCAATTAATTTGGATGAGAACCGAAAATTTGCGCAAACAATGGCCGTGTCCATTTTTGCTACACGGATTCATTCTTTTTCCATTTGAACGCTCAAGTGCATATCGGAAAATGGGTTACGGTTCATAGTTATGCATACGTGCTGTAGAGCCAGAGCTGTGTAACCGTTCTGCATTTGGCTGTAAGTACCGTACACACACACACACACAAAGTGGACGTTGAGCAGTTGAGCATTCGACTTGCATGAGCGCTTGAGAATATATTTCACTCACTCCGGCTTTGGGGCAATCGTTTTTAACTTTATCTATGTTTCTATCCGAATTCCTCGCATCTTTAAATTAAAAGCTCTTTATTTTAATTTTCTCATCCCCTTTTTTTCTCTCTCGGAACAAGTGCGCTTACTCACTCGCCTAGCCATACCGGCACTCGGCCCAATGTACACGGGGCCTCGCATTTGAACAGACAGAATTGTAGAAGCTTTCGTATAGTTTCGTTAAATATTCATCGCTGAGCAGTGAGCAGTGAGCACACAGTGTACTGGTCCGTGTACTGTGTGCAAGTTTCGTTGTGAAAACAACGGCAAACAAAGCACAAAGAATTGAAAAAGTTGATCGAAACTTTGAAAATTGGCAACACACAAACAAAAGCAAGCAAAAAGAATGAAAAATACAAAAATCGAAAAGAAAAAAAAGAGAAGAAGACTTGTTGTTCAAAACAATGACGCTTGTTGATTTGCAATTTATCTAAGTGCGACGTGCAAATGCTGGTCCAGTGTTGTGTTGCATTTGGAAGTGCACTTCGATTTTCGATTCGAAAATCGTATCGCCAACCATTTACATGGAAAACTGATGTTCAGTGATCGAGAGAGTTAGAGAGAGGGATAGAGTATTTGGAGTACTTATTCGACAATTCCACTTTTATTTATTCGCATTCAATTTGAATCGCATTGATAAATGTTTCAAGTGCTGCTTTTATTGGGAGCGTATGGAAAGAGAGACAGGAAGAGCGATGGAGCTCAGAGCGTAAAAAAAATCGAGAATGATTCGTATGTAGAATGGTTTGAGTCTGTTTACAAAAACAGCATCGAAACAGCAAACTTCGAAATGAATGGAAAGATGAATCGAATGAGATCAATATAACGTTGCCATGCATTTTCAAGAGGGACGATGTCGACACAGACACACACGAAAAAAAATATATATAATCCATTGAAGTATTTGTTTATTTCATTGAGTATTGTGTCGAAATTGACTGCATCGAAAGAGCATAATCACTAGTGGCAACAACGACACAACCAACGAGCAACAACGGCAAAGTACACAGAGAAAATAATAGAGAGAGAGACGCATACACGTATTTCTCATTCATCTCCATGCTCGAGCTAAATGTTGTCGATCGATGAATGCTCTTTCAATAGCCTCGATTCTAATTCGACAACTTAACTGTTTGATTTTTGCCGTTTAGCTGAAAAACGATGAGAACGGGTGTAGCTATTTTTCAATACGTATGTGTATGTGTGTGTGTGTGTGTTTGATGTTTGCTCTCATTGAAAAAGAAGCATTTGAGCAAACACCGAAGAACGAGTGAGAAAAGAGAGACAGCTATTTGGCAAGCAGCAAATAAAAAAGAAGCACAGAGAATCGAACGGAGGAGGCCATGTAATACGACAAAATATACAAGCTCATGAATGGATTCACCATTCGTTTTGCTGTCGTTATCACCGTTGTCGTCGTTTTGGTCACATAAAATGAAATGAATTTCAATTTCATGAGCTCAATATCCCTATAAACAATGGAAACGGTTTTCCTCGTTGAAAACGAGTTTTAGCTACGGGAATTGGGAAAGCAATGCGGCAACAGCATTGTGTCGTTGCAATTCAAGTGTTGGAATATGTGAACAGGAACAGCCAGCATGCATATGCGAAAGTGTGTGTGCGGTTATCTTTGATTCGTATTCATTGTTCGCATCCACCCATGAAATTCGATTCGTCTGCATTGAGTACTTGGCTTGCTGTACAGTATCGGGCAAGTGATTTTTCATCGTCGAACAACCAGTGAAACATTTTTCTTGTCTCTGGCACAATTTTATTACATAAATCGATCAAATGTGTCCAGGCGTGTTTTGTTCATTTTTCAATACAAAAACTTTAGCCCGGTATTTTGCTCTCTCCCTCAATCGTACATTTTCTCTATTTGTTTCTCCTTTCCTTTTCTTCATCTCAATTCCTTCACGTTTCATTTTTTTCTCTCTCTTGCGATACAGGTAATTCGAGCAGATCGTTCTGATCGATGGACGCTACAAATAAAGTTTCCGCAATTGCGCGATAGTGGCATATACGAATGTCAAGTGAACACCGAACCGAAAATGTCGATGGCGTTTCGGCTAAATGTTGTGGGTGAGTATTTTGTAGCGAAACCAATTTCCTTTCAGTTTATTTGCCGCCGTCGTCGTCGTGTAGTGCTTTTGCCTTTAATTTCAATGGATGTGTGTTTGTGTATGCGAGAGAGGGTGCTTTTTGTTGGAAACGATTTTGCTAAATGCTTCGATTATAACCGCATTAAAAGGATGGCAATTATGTCAAAAACATTACCGAATTCAATAACACCGAAAATTCGAGAAGAAAAAATTTCCGCGAATTGTATGTGTGTATGTTAGCGAAATGGGAGTACGAAGATTTTTCAGCGTTCGCTTTGATTTGGGAGTATTGTCGGTAATTTGTTTTGCGACCAATGTCAATAACAATGCATACAACGATTTAACCAGTGGTTTGGTTACACGCAACTATTTAATGTTTCCATTTTCGGATTCGCATTTCGATTCGTTTCGAATTTGTTTGTGGCTTTTGTTCAAAGTTTTCGGCTGTGCTACCGAAAATTTGTGCTCGTGCCCCACACAACGCACAAAAGAACATTCCTTTGCAACGGAACAATGCAATTCAGTCCCGCAATATCCGCATTGTTGGAAGCGCTATATATTTTTTTTTGTGTTCGTGTGTTCTATATTTATTCGGAAAAAGTAATAGAACTGAATGGGGAGAGGCTGGATGCCATTGCTACCACTACTCTTGCTGCTGCTGCTGCTGCTGCTTCTTCTTCCACAACGTATTTGGTAAATGATGATGGAATAATATACATCAGCAACGCAATAAGTATTGCGGAAGCTAGAGTGAGAGAGAGTGGGTGAGGAAAGAATGCGCGAAAAGTGAAAAGCAAACAAGGATGCGAGAGCATTTGTTATTGTTATATTGTACGGAACAGCTATTAGGAACCAATTCAATGGTGTGTAAGAGCTGACAACACATTACACGCGGCAGCGCCAACAATTCAATACGGATCATCTGGCATTTGCCCGCTCTTTTGCCAAAGTTTCCTCTCATATGTTCATGTGTTCAGCACGCATCACATATTAGCTCAAATATGTAGCGAGCGTGTGGAAGGAAGAAAAAAATGTTGAAAGGCACACGAATCCCATTCACATTATCGGGGCAGTCGAGAGATAGAGAGAGAAAAGCGCAATCGAAATAAATTGGTTCAAGCTAGCGAACGAGTGAGTGAGTGAGCAATGGAATGAACCGGGTCATACATGAAATCTACAATGAAATACACTGATAAATGTGCGTCCACACAAAAGAAAACTTGCGTAACGCTGGCAAATAACAAAGCAAACCAAAATGCCGATAAAAACCAGCCAAAGCAATTTCAAATAAATAAAATGTTATAAAAACAAACGAACGGAAAATAATGATTGCACACCACCACCACCGCCAGCACCACCAGCATCGTCATCGCCACCGTCTTCAACCGAGCTTGTTATGCCATTTACCGAGAATGGGTTGTAATGCTTCACGATTTTGATGATACAAATTGATATGAGATATACAAGCCGAAAGTAGGAAGCGAACAAAAAAATGCGGAATTGAAATGGTTTGCAGTGAGCTCAAGTGAATGAGTGTATAGAGGCCAAATCCATGCGAAGAAATTGTTCATCATTTGAATTTGCCACGGAAACACGCACGCAACACAAACAAAGATATGTACAGTACACCGCATAGCGTGGCATTTGTGGATCGACAGCGGCAAAACAGAAAAACCCACAAACAACAACAACAACAAAACGACCAACCATAATCACAGCGAAACAGAAATATGTGCCGAAAGAAAGAGAAAGAGAAAGAGAGAACAAGCGTATTGAAAATGTGTAGAAAAACGGGAATAAATGATATAATTTAACAAGGTTGTGGAAAAACACACAACCATAAACATTACACAATTCACCAATTTTCCCTGCAATATTGAACAATTCGCGATCTGTTCGCTTGCTCTCCCGCTCGCTCAAAGAGTTTTCAACGCAAAATTGAAAATGTTGCAAGTGACGTAGAATTTCAGAACTCGGATAGGGAAGACAAGTTAAAATGGATGCCGCATCATGGACAACAAGTGAACGAAGAGCACAAACATGCGACCATTGTTTATCTCATTTCAAATGTTGGAAATGATAGAGAAAAAAGGAACAGACACAGAAGAGCACGCGAAAAAGGCATCAACAAAGCTAACTCAAATCCGCGAAACAGATTGGATAAACAAAGAAGAAGTGCACGTTTCCATGGAATACAAAGTAAATGGTAAAGCTCAATGCTGGAATGGCGAAAACAAGCTGAGAAAAACACAAATTGATTTGCATTTTTTTCTGTTCTCGTCTCATGTTCCGGTTGCTCGAGTGTGCACACGATTTTTTCCGCTGTTGCCAAACAAACCATCCACTCGAACTTTTAATATTTGAATGTAGATCGGTTTACGCTTCCTTTTTCTCGCCTCACATTGGTGCGTTTTTTTCTGTTACTGATGCGCTACTTCGTTATTGCCACATATTTTCATCCTTCGAGATGCCATCGGATCATCGTCATTTCGAAATTTCGTGCTCTGCTGTTGTGTGTGTAATAATACACGCTGCAATCTAATTCCGAAACGGGAAAGAAATAACCGACGTTCGGAAAAAATAAACATTAGCATACATCAACGGCACACTAGCATCGCCAGTGGATGGATGACACAATCTCGGGCACAAATTTTTCGCTCCTGCATATTCGCATGCATAGGATTTTCTTCGAACATGCATATAAAATTTAAATGCTTCTCAGTGCAAATAGTTTGCAGGGGGCAAGTGTGGTGTGTAAGCGCGTGTCGTGTGTGACTCGTATGCAGACGACACGGAGTAGAAAAAAAAATGTTGGAGTGAAAAGTGTGAGAAAATTTTTTCGGTACTCCAGTTTCAACTCATTCGAACAAGAGAGAAAGATAGACAGAGAGCGAAAAAACCCGGGCAAGAACTAAGAGACGCTTTACACGCATCACATCACTCGCGCGCACACCACACACTCAAATTGAATTTCGCAAACACAATACCATCAGCTCATAACCATCGAGCGAAATTAAATTAAATTCTCGTCGTGTTAACAGGAAAAAGAGCGAAACGTTTTGCGTTAATATTAGAGATTCTAGAAGAGAGAGAGAGAGAGCAAACTAGTGTGTGATGAAGAATGTGTCTCGAAAAGCATGTATACAAGAAAATGATTGCAAACATGCTTTTTTCCCTCTTCGGCATTGTCGTTCATGATCAAAATAAAAATGGATTAAAATCGGGGAAAATTACATGTACTGAAATTAGAATGTGAATAAGGGCGATTGCGAGAACGAACGAGAAAAAAACGTTATGGATGGAAAAAAGCAGCATCGACGAACAAAGAAGCAACACTCAGAAAAAGATGAAATGGCAATTAGTTTAATTAAATTTTTTTTTCTTCTTCCGTATTTTTGTGTGCACTGACTAATGAGCCGTTCTTCTTTGAGACATTTAACTGTACGAAAACAATTCGAACGCCATTACAATTGCCATTCTGCGTCACAAGACCGCCGGCTCTTTTTTCTCGCTAGTCTCCGACTTTGTTTTTGCTCGCTGGCATTTTATGCAAATTCGGTTGGAAAATGCTTGAAATAAATTCATCGGTGTTACACCAAAATATATGAACGTGTAGAGACTATTGACCCCAAGAGACAAGCGGCAGAGCATTTAAATGGCGAAATTTTTTGTTTTTCGTTTTGTTCAGTTTCTTAGCATAGAATTTTTAAGTGAGAGCTTGATTTTAGTGCATGATAAACCTAATATGGAAAAGGCAAATGGTACACGGTTCCATTTAATATTTTCATAACCATTTCTGCATTTAAACATTTTCCCACAGAAGCGAAAGCAGTGATACCAGGCCCATCGGATATTTATGTTAAACAGGGTAGCGAAGTTGTACTGACATGCGTTGTTAGCCAAGGACCACATGAATTGGGTCAAATATTCTGGTTACGCGGTAAATAAAACCATTTTTTTACTATACTATCAGTCTATCCATCCCTATTCCTCTCTGTGTCCCCATTTCCCACTATCACCATCACCACCGCCGACACCATTTCATTAAATATTTAAAATGCAATCACACAATTTGAAATGAGATTATATCACGCCAACTAACCTAATCACGGCTAGTCAATGGAATATCCGGCATTTCTTTATGTGTATTATACAGCGAGGTGTGTGGGTGCTTTATTTCTATTTTGCAGGCAAACAAATGATCGACCCAAAAACCAGATATCATTTAAATGACATTTTCGAATATCCGGATCGCATAACCATTTCGACGGAATCGGGCGATGTTCTGCAATCAAGGTAATATTTTCATTAGCTTTACATTTTATGATGGGGCTGTGGAGACAACAGCCATACGGACACCAAAAAAGGGCTAGTTATCAAAAGTAGATAACCAAAAGGGAATTACTGGCATTTTCTATATAGACTGACCACTAACACACCCTGATACTTCTGGATAATATTTCGTTTTGCGTTTAAGATCCTAGTTCCAGCTAACGGATTGAAGAAAACCAACCGGCTTTCACATTTTTAGCTCGATGGCATTTTACCAGTGTTTCATTTGTTCTCAATTACTGTTTCAAAAATGTTTTGTCTAAATTTAAAATCTGAACATGTGTTTCTTTGTATAAGACCATAAATTCTTCTAGTTACCAAAAAACACTTTAGTTCATACTAGTTCATAGTACATCGTTGTGGTCAGTCTATCCGTTTGTATACGTATTTTAGTTTGATTACAAAGCCAGATGGAACATGTTTGTTGTGAAAACCGAATCGGAATCAGTGTCGAACAAAAGCTAGGTTGCAAAAACATTTTCGACTCACCAAATATTTTCAGCTGCTTTTAGTCAGAGCCACATTATTTTTTTCTCTGTTTATTGCTAAAATCTGACTCGATGTTTTCTAATCATCTTGTTTTCTTCCTTGTCTTTCTCTACTTTTCTCTCTCTCTCTCTCTCTCTCTCTCTCTCTCTCTCTCTCTCTGCCATGTATATGTACTGCGTGGCTCATTCTCGTTATCGGTTGGCGTGTGAAGATTAACAATATCCACAGCAAGACTATCTGATTCAGGTAATTACTCTTGCATGCCAACGAATGCAGAAGGTACCAGTGCAATCGTCCACGTTATAAATGGTGAGTGAACATGCGTGTTTTTTCCGTTGTCGTTGCTCTCTTGCAACTGTTTGATTTCATGGAACTCTCTCGGTGTATTGTTGTTGCTTTTATCATTCGTTTCGTTTCTTTTTATTTCGTTGTATATTTGGCAGAACAGCCAAAATGGCACACTCTCTGCATTATATTCAGTTGGACTTTTCTGTTTGTATCTTTCATTTCGTTTTGTTCGCGCGCGCACTCAACGATGCGGTGATGCGTGTGGATGTTTCATTAGTAACTCGTTCATTCGGGTGGTTTTTATTTTGGAAATCATAAAATAGCGTAAAATTTGAGTGAGTGAGTGAGTGAGTGTGTGTGTGTACATAATTTTTTGCGCTCAATTCACTGTTGATCTAATGGATGGGGTGTGGACATCGTGTTTTAAAGCAATTTCATAGTCACTCGCACAAATCTCGATGTGTGCTCATGTGAACAGAACCGACTACAAATAAAAACAACAAACGATGGCAACGAAAACATGAAGTCGATACACAAACAGAACATTTTTGTAAACGGTCATACACCGAGCATTGGACGACACATAAAAATTAGCGAAAAATGAACGATAGAGAGAGTGTGTGAACGAACGAGCCAACGAAAAGAGGATGAAACCCTGTCCAGCCACTGCAATGCAGTGTAATGTGTGTGTGTGTGTGTGCATGTCTCTCGGTGCCTCTTGTGCGCGCAAAAGAGCGCCATAATTTATTTTAGTTTTGTGATTCGTGCGAAAATTTCTTTTTATTTCTAGATAAATTTCATTTACACTGTGTTTGTATTCCAGTGGCTGGATTCTATCTGCCTCTTTCGCTCTTTTTCTCCCAGCCGCTCTCATTCATGTTCTTACTCGCTCATTCTCTCATTCGCAGAACATTTTCGGCTACAATAAAATCCCATTTTTCTCTTTCTTTCCACATATATGCGTTCATTTTTAATTTGTACCATGTTATCTTTTGCTCTCGAAATGCATCATCCGAACGAAGTGCAGCGTAAAAAAATGCGCAATTCGGATTTTGTGTGTGTACAATTTTTTGTCGGTCGGTTTTTCGTTCCTTTTTTTTTCTCTCGCGCTCATATCGTGAATGAACGGTTTTGAAATGCATGGCGTATTTTTTTAGTTTGTAGTAATTACTAGATCACTGTGTCACTGCGGATTCCAAGTACTAACTCTCTCGTTATTTATGTTCGTTTTTCTACTTTGTGTCTTTGCACACGGGTTTTTTTACTGTCGTTCGCGCACGTGTGCGACATTTTTTTTTCTACCGTAGGTGAATTTCCGGCTGCCATGCAAAGAGGCTGCGCCAGCAACAACATCAATCTATCTATTTTATTGTACATTTTATCACTATCACTTTTGATTCAATATTTGAACCGGATACTGAGTACATTCATAGTGTTACATGTGATTTCATCGCATCGAAACCCCATCATCCATGACACACCATACCAATTCCAGTTAGGTTTTACGCGTTTGCCAGCTTTATTGGATGCATCATCATCATCATCATCAGCAGCAGCAGCAGCAGCAGCAGCACCAACAGCGAAAAGCTCAGCATTGAATTTAAGATAAAATAAATCCTCGGCACAACCAAACACCCAAATACACCCACACACATACATTCACTCTTTTTCTCGGATTTTGTGATTTTAAAATGAATAAAAAAACAGAAAGAAAATGGAAAACGTTTTTAGTAGAAATTTAAGCAAGTAATTGAGAGAAAGAAAAAAGACAGAAAGGAAACAAATATAAGCAACATAAACATGGAAAATGACATTTATACGAAAGCAAGCATCTATGTAAATACTTCGTTACACACTACAGACACACACACACACACTCACATAAATCATATCTCTCGAAATCAATGTATGTTCTTGAATACAGTACAGCAAACGTACTCTATCAACCACAAAAAAAAGACTCTCTATTCGATGTGGATTTTGTGTTATGTCAATTTGGTATAGTCGACAGAAGAGATATCGGGAGGATTTTTTTTAGCCATCACATACATATACACTGTTCGTTTCGAATGATGAATCGATTCGAAATTTTATTGACATGGCAATAAATTCAATTTGTATGCTGAAAACCATTCCATTTCCTAACAAGTTATAAATTGACTTTATTTAAATGTCCCATTCCCAAATACATAAGACGATATAGCCACATTTGAAAGGTTACGTAGCCACTTTTAAAGGGTTATCTATATGAAATGTATGAGAAATGGACACTTTATAACTCTTCTTCTTTTTTTTTAATTCGTCTTCATTTCCCTCCCAAAGACAATTTTAATTGAACCAATTCATTATGTATTAATATTGATGATGACAAATATATATTTACCGTAAGTTGTAACACATAGATATTGAATAATTGAACGAATAATAAAGACATACAGACATAAGAATAGTCGAATGTAGTAGAAAATATTGGATGCGTTTCATTCAATATAGACTTCATATCATTCCATAGGTTTTGTCAATTGATCGAATGGAAAAGCAATGTTCATAAGGTAGGTACATTTTAGAAATTCCCTGTTCTGTCAATAAAATCGTTCGGTCAAATAGAATTTGATTTAAAATGAGTAAATATTAAATTGATTTCATTTCATCTTCATAACTTCGGACGGAACGATGTACGCCAAAAATATGCAAATGCATACAAATATTGGACGTTGTATGTCTTCCAATTGAAATACAGAAATACATTCGTGTGCAATTCGTATTCATTTGAATATTTCATGAAACCGACCAATTGATTGGATTTAAATGTTTTTCCAACTGCTCAATCGACTCGATCCAATTGAAACTGCCAATAAGTTTAAATGGAATCACAATTGGTCTATTTTCAGAGATTCGGAAATTATTTGATATTAATCCAAAGAATTTCTAATTCAATTTCTGCTCAATCAATTTGGCATTTAAAATTAGTTTGATTTAATGGAATTTGTTTCAGTTCATTTTTGAGGTTTGTGATTCTTCGAATTATCAAATGAACTATTTTTGGCTTTATTTATATCGAAAATTTGTTGGAAATAACGACCGAAAATGGTTTAGGAATCGAATGGAAGTTATTTAAAATTCATTTAGAAATGAAATGGATTGTGGTTTCAAACCTGAATGGAAAACAAATGGCGGTGATACTTCCTCGAAAAGCCACATTCAAAAACATTTCGTTGAAATTACTAACAGCGTCAATTGAAAATAGAAAATAGAAATACAGCATCCATTTCACATGCAAAATGAGTGAAACTCGTCATAAACTCAACGTCAACAAACCGAGCTCAGCTAGAGTGAGACATTTTCCGGCTCATTAAAAATGCATACGCTTGACGTTTGATCAAATATTGACTGTGTCAAATGTACATCACTGCGCTCTTTTTTTTCACTTGGTGTCCAAAACTTTTCCCCGGAAACTGGAAACAAGTTGATTATGTCAATCCGAGAGCGAGTGTGTGTGCCCGGTACCGCTGTTTACAGTTGAAAAATGGAAAAATTGTTAGAAAAAAACTTGTTTGAGTTTGTCAATAATAAGGTAAATTTCATTGAAAACCACCACCATCACCAGCGCATATACACACATACACAATCCCACCGAGGCAAATTGAAATGAATTTTAAATGTTTCATTTCATGTGATTGCATTCGCATGCTTTATTATATAATGGGTCACCGTAAATGTTTTCGAATGGAAAGCGTCATAATTGCGATTGTGATACGAAAACACAATACCCACGGATAGAAAACTGAACCGAATGCGAGACAGAAGGAAAAAAAATTGTTTTTGTCGGTGCAAATAAAAAATTCACATCACACGCTAATTATGTACGCGCTGAACAGAGAAAAAAGCGGCTACAATTGTGTGTGTGTGTGTGTGTGTTTTAGCAATAGGTTTACTGGCCTGTTATATAATATCATTACGTTGGGTATACGAACGAGTGTGCTGTGCAAAACGGCACGCGTCACAAAAGCCAGGTTCTCCAAAGTGAATAACGACGAATGGAAAGAGAGAGAGGGATGAAAAAAAGCGCATTTCAAATGAGAGAAATTTTTTGTCGTTTTTGTTAATGAAAATCACACACATACAAAGGCGACGTTGAACGGGAGTGAGTGTGTGTGAGGCCCTTGATGAATGTCAATTATTAAGGAAAAGACAATTAAGTTCTTTTGTTTTATTTTATTTTGGCTTGATTTGAAGATAATCTGCCTCTTTGCTTAACCTCCCTCCCTCTCCGCTCAAATGTGCAAATAAGAACGAATCGGCGCGCTGAACGAGAGAAACAAGATAATGATTCACGGGATAAAATAAATAGAGACGCACAAAAGATTCAACGCAACAGCGGCAACGACGACAACGGCGGCGATGGCAACAGATCAACGAACAGAGGTCTCCGCACATTCCATTTAGATAATAAATAAATTATTCTATTAGAATTTGGATAATTAATGGGCCCTCTTTTAGACTTAATACGTACACATTTTATTTTTGTTTGAACCTTCGCCACCGAACCGCGTGCACGGTTTGTAATCAAAGCAATGCTAGACGATGGTGCACCATACATACAGCGTGCGAGTGCAAGCGAGAGCAATAACGATGGATAGAGCAAGAGAATGAACACCATAGCCATGAACTGTGCACATTCTCACGATAAAAATCTAGCAAATATTAATGATCCTCGCTCCGTGTTCCGACACAAAGCCAGCCGCGAAAGCGACAAGCAAAACTGGGCGAAAAATAGCAGAATTTCAATATATTTTTTTTTGCCATACTTTGAAAATGAATGCATCTCTCAGCAAACTTTGCTCTCGTGCGCTGAGCTCGTTTGTTCGTTTTTTAATGGTGAACCGCACACATCTCGCACATGTGTTGCATAACTTTAATAATGAGTATACAATGTGCAATACAGCGATAGGCGCTCGCTCGCTCGGTTGGCGGTTGTGTGGTTGGCGGCACACATTCGTGCAAATGGGTTAACAAAAATCCCAAAAACTAATAAATGCATCGCATCGAAAAATGGTGTTCCCATGTCGAGCTTGAATAATTTAATTAAACATTATTTGTGATTTGATTTATAATATTTGTCCGTATGAATAATACCACCAGTGTAAATGATGAACGTGAAATGAAGTGTAAATGGCCAACCAACGCGCATTTTTGGCGGCGGAAAAATTGTGTCGCTTTTAATGAGATAATTTCACTTTTCATCTATCCACTCATCAAATAATAATGCAGTTGAACGAGGCGAATGGAATAATTAATGCCGTTAGTTTGGTGTGACACACAAATGTCATTCAAATTTTTGAACGAACGAATGAACGCGAATCAGAGAGGCGGAAGGAAGAAAACTTGAATACGAAATTTGTCTTAATTTAAAAAGTTGACCTGATCCCCTACAATTAAAACGAAACTCGCGCAGAGTTTAGAAAAAAAAGAGAAGAAAAAGAGAACCATAAGGCGATAGCTCGAATGAAAATGCGGCAGAAAAAATCAGCAAAAGCCTTTAATGTTTCAAACGCTTCGGATGGATGGCGCTGTCAGAAGCTCTCTGAAGCACATTAGAAGTGGTGAATGTGATTATGACAGATAATATTTGTGTTTACTTTTAGAAACGTTGACTGTCAAAGTAGAGAATGTTCTGTTAATATAAACCAAAATACCAACATGGCTGGCCAAAATGCTGTCATGGCGGATATCTTTCTCATTAAACTACACATCGAAATATCTCGAAAACGGATGGGAAAATCGGCAAAATGGACCGTGGTGTCACTCCCTAAAGGGAGTGTAGACACCCGGCTGGTTTGATGGCCCAAAGTTCAAATCCGGTGGATTTGAGCTCATCCATGGGTTCTCGGGATTTGGCCTGATCCCAGCACTTGCCCTGTGGTGAAATTCCATACAAAACATGAGTGTAACTTGTTAAGATGCTCACAGGAAAGGAAAAGCTGGGAATCAGACCAAATCCTGAGAGCCCATGGATCAGCCCGAATCCACTGGATTTGAGCTTTGGGCCATCAAACCAGCCGAGTGTCCACACTCCCTTTGGGGAGTGACACCACGGTCCATTTTGCCGATTTTCCCAGCCGTTTTCGAGATATTTCGATGTGTAAATATTTATTGGTTTTAATTTACCACTTAAGAGGTGAGTTTGGATAAATTAGCAGAAAAGCGTATTAAAGTTCGAAATATTCCATCATTCTAAGATATTTTCACTAGAGGCGCTCTTACAAAAATCCATCCATTCAGCCTCCATAAGAAGCAATGTATTGCTATCGGATTACGAAGAAAACTGGTGGGTTATTATTGCTCACACTTCGTCGTTCGTCGAAGAACAAATTCAGATGAATGAGATAAGTCAAATGAAAGTTATAACAAATGATACCCGATAACCCGATAATTCGTGCGATGAATACAAAACTCAAGTGCTTTCACACCCGGCAAACAATAAAAAATAACGAATCGAACAATAATGATAAAACATTTTTGTTTATTTAATGAGACAGTAAATGGGCCGAAAATATTTATCATCATGATGACGATGTGATCAAAATATTTCCGACCACCATTCACAGCGAAATATTCCATTTTTGCCATCGACAATATTTTCTCTTCGCACACTTCCCGTTCGTCGATTTTCTGTACACATAATAATCTGCAAACAATACGCTTTATTAAGACAGTCATAAATTACGTACGGCATGAGTGAGACACAGAGAGAGTGTGGAGATTTACTGCACCTCCATACGCTGATGGACATTGCATTGATATTTTATGCACTCGAATCGATTCTTTTCTCTCTTCGCCATTCAATCAAGCTAAGTGCCTGAAGTGTTTGTTCGCTCGTTCCGATCGGATTTTTCCATTTCTGCACAAGACAACCAAGAACACACAAGAGAATGGAATATTAGACGAGTTTTTTTTTTCATTTCCTTCATATACACGCTGTGTTTTTTATTGCCATTCAATCACAAACATTTACAACAAATCAAATGTTGAAAACTTGATGTGCACTTGAAGTTGAAGTGTATTAGCTCGTTGGGTTTTCGAGTAGTGATAATTCGATTCAAAATATCGGTGGATGCGAGTCTCGCTCCCGCAAACTCCGTACGGATAGTGTTAAAGTAAAAAAAAAATTATAGATATGGCATTGCAATGCAACGTATACACACGCGTTTGATACGCTACTGATGCAATTGAAGTCCCCATTGGGATTTCTTGAAGCAAAAATCAAGTATTCCCATTGAAAACTCGTTTCAACTTCAATTGACATCGCATTATCCAACAATCAACAACGACGAATTCACTATCATCGAAACTAGAACTTCGTAATTATTAGATTCAACTGTGCAAATTGATAGCCAATGATATTTACTTCGTTATGACAACAGCTTAACAGTCGTTTTGTTCGTCACTTCTTCAATTTGGAAAGTG